GATGATAATATTATTAAGATGAGTCAACAAAGTATTTTGATCAGTACTGTTAAAGTGTTCTTGTGTTGATGATTGTTCAGACTTAATTAAATTTTGGAGAAATATTAAATTCTCTTGTAATGTTTGGAGACTTCTTAAGGTAGATTTCAAGAATTCTCTAAGTTCTTGTTGACGAATAGCAGCAGCATTTGAACCGCTAACATCAACTACGTTATATTTCAATTAAGTTAGTATGGAAGTATTAGATGATAATGTTTCTGGTGAAGTATTGAATCCAAGAATGTATTCTAAATAATTAAGAACTTCTTTAGATGAAGTTTTTGTAGAGCTGTTATTATCATCATTAATCTTGTTATCAATGTTTTCACTTTCATTTTCAATCTCATTATCATCGATAATGTCATCATTGTCAGAGCTTGCTGGTATTTCATATTCATCAGTACATAGATTGCGCCGAATATTTTGTACTTCTTGGTAAGTGGAAAAAACCATTTCGGATAAATGCAAATAAGGCTCTTTGTTACGAAGTTCTTCAATATAAAGAGCTGCAGCGCGAAGATGCTTACACATGATTCCTCTCTGAAGAAAGTCAAAGCACTGACAGTAAATATCCGTTGGTTGTCCATACACACAAGTTGTATAGACAAGCCCCGGCATAGTTTCAGATTTTACCTCAACGTAAATCTTTCCAGTTGATTCTTCTACTTCATACTTTATTACTTTGTTCATATTAAGAATTCTCCATGCTGATTCATCACGTTTTACACTTGGAGACAAATAGGCGACTTGTGGAAATTCTTGTATAAGAATTTTACGGTCATATGGATCTTTTATATTTAATTCTTTCCGTCGTTTTGCTTTTTCTTTTTCAAGACTTATAGCAAGGTTACGTAATGTCAATATGTTAGATATAACTTCATAAACAAGAGTAATATAAAGCACGTCAGCTCTAAGAAGGTGATTATTTCTTTGAAACCGATTTAACTGTTATTTTTTAGATATTCATTCATTCCCTCAAGATGATTATTTGTAGTAGGAAGTTTTTCTAGAGGGATTCCAAGAGCTTTTGCAGCATTTATCTGTCCTCTAAGACACCAACTGTATAAAAGACTTCCAGCCTATTGTTTTCTTAAATAAGTAAGAAATTTCAAACTACCTTCTATGACTTTTTTATTTTCTGGCATGTTTTCTAACTTATAAATTTCTTTCAACGATTCTTGTTTTTCTTTAATGTAATCACGCACTACCTCCTCACTACTATCCATTGACCGAGCCTCTTCTAAAACATCTTTTAAAAATGTTTTCAAGGTTTGTCATAATAAAATTATTTTACTTCCACCGCCACGGCCTAATTGCTTATTAATTTCATTTTTACAACATTGACTAATATGGAAATAACAAAGAAGCAAGATGATCCCTGGCCATACTTTTAATAATGGCTTTCGCTCCTTAACATCAGCGTCAGTCATTGCAACAAGGGGAGTAAATGTAATTAAGGTTGAAGAAGATTGGCTTAGATTATAATTATAACTAATTTTATCATGAAATATTATAAAAAGTTTCTCTAGGATTTTGCTATCATACCCGGATGACGTTAATCGATTATTTTGGGGTGGCGTAAAAAGAATAAAGGCAACAGGAATGCCTTTATTGTTTTCATCAATAATCATAATGATGAATAGTAGTAATTTATGTTTACTAATTCCAAATGTTCCATCAACAAGAATAAGATTATTGTGACCATATTTCCAAGCATATTCTTGTTGTTCGTTGGTGCAAATAATAATCTCTAAACGATCAGTCTCGTTTGTATGAGGCTGGTAGTGCAAGCATGCTTCTTTTAGTTCAGATTGATCCGCGTTTGGTCCAAGCAGCTGATCTAAATTTTTTTGCAGCATCATGCTTAGTATTGATATTCCAACTTTTTTGCAACATTTGTTTTTTAATATTCGTAATGTCCATTGCCGTAAGCAA